CATATAAATATTTACATGGTGTCCATGTTAGCTCGTGGATCCGATCTGGATATTTCTACTGTGCTCTTGTTGTAAATCTGGATGAATAGCAGTAGACAAAAAGTGAGAAGAGGCAAGAGTCCTCTAGAAATGGACAAGAGCAGATGAGCAAAGAGATTGCAGATAGTGAGAAGGCAGAGAGAAGAGGAGGAAGAGAATTCACACCATAGTTGTCATACCGCAGCCTCTTATAAACCGGTCTAAGCCAGCTAAGCCCAGATTAGAACCTTAACAGGCCATCCCCACTTGAGGTCCCCGGGGTGTGGCCTTAAAGATTTTTCATTGTTTGGTTTACCTTCTCTGTTTGGCCATCTGTCGATGGGTGGTATGCAGAGCTGAAGCTCAGCTTGGTCCCCATGATCTTAGAACCTGCTCAAGAATCTAGAATCTTCGGAGATTATCTCTGCCGGAAGGCCATGATACTGTACAATTCCCAAACAAAAAATCTCTACCACCTTTCGAGCATCTGCTGTCGTTGCCAGGTCAATTACCACCATGATGGCATCAAAACCAGCAGCCTTCAATCCTGAGACAAAATCCATTGCTATTGATGCAAATGGAGCTTGAGCAACTGGGACGCTACTGTCTCTGTCTTGCACGCTCTTACCCAACTTTACTTCCCTCTGCATCCCGTTTCAATAGAACTGTCTCTTTATCGCAGCCAATGTGCTTGTCATTCCTGGATGACTGGAGAGAAGACGAGTGTGGCACTCCCCAAAGATTTCTTTACGGATGTCTGATTGACTGCTAATGATGATTTTTCCCTTCCTCCACAGCAAGCCACCTTGAAGGCAATTTCTTGGTGCGTCTCATCTACAGATCCTGAGAGCCTATTGAAGAGCACCTTGTGATAGACTGGAGAGCTGGTGTCCTTCGCGAAAAGCTGAGCATTAGCTGCAAAGATAGCTTCTCGAACATCTTCGACAGAGCATCTGGAAGGATGTTTTTCTTCCTTGGCCGGAAGTCAATTGTAAAATCCAGATCTTGCAGCTTCTTGATCAATCGTCTCCGCTTTTTGTTGAGATGAGTTTGCTCCAGCAAGTACTTTAAGCTGTAGTGATCAGTCTGCAATGTGAATCTCATTGGCAGCAAGTAATGTTGCCACTTTTCCACCGCATGCATCATTGCAAGCATTTACTATTTGTAAGTTGGCAGGCCAGCCTCTTGTGGAGAGAAGCAGTGACTCTTGAAGGCAATAATCCCATGTTCCTGCTTCAAAACCGCTCCTGTTCCTGCATCTCAGGCATCTGTCTCCACAAAGAATGAGCGCTCAAAGTTGGGAAGCTTCAAGATTGGGGCTGTCAGAATCGTCTCCTTCAATAGAGAGAGGGTATGTTGATTTATCTCCTCCTATATCCATATGTCCGTGAACAATATGATTACAAAGTTACTTAGTTAAATAATGAATAACCTGATGGTGAAGTTAATTTATTTGCAAATAGTAGCATTGAATTAGTTTTGACTTGGTTGTCAATAGTAATCCATTACATATTAAACTAGTGTTAGTACCTTGGTCCTTTAAGAATTTGCCCATTAACATTCATTTACTATAGATTGTTCTTGAAATAGATTATTGGATAGAAGGTGTGTAATTGGGGCATTAATATTGCTAACACTTATATTAGTGAAAGTGGCAATATTATGTCGAGTAGTAAGGAGTTTCTTTAAAACTTAATTTTCATATCATTTTTTGTGTTAGTATTTTGGCTTCACATTAAATTTTGAAAGTGATTGAAGAAGAGTGTTTATGCAATATGAATATCTAAAAATATAGTTTTCATGATCAGGTTTTTACAAATGTTGATATTGGATATATAGGCATGATATTCAATATTTATACATACAATTGGGTAATGAGAATTTATATTGAGGTGCATCTATGTGAAGTTGTAGATAGAAGGAAGTTGGTTAAATCTTGAAAATTTACATTCTTGAATTGAAAATCATGCTTTCTCTAGAATGGGAAATTTCTCCTAAATTTTTCTTAGACATCTCTAATGGCTAATTTATTAATCGTTTTGTTTAAAAACTATTTTGGTGTTGTGAGTCATTGCAAACTAGTGAAGGGGTTAACATTGACTTTGGTTAGCTTGAATTTTAGTAAATAATTTATATAATGCAACTATAAAAAGATGTTAACTTTTGGGGTTAAGACAATTAAGTTGGATAGATTTTATAGTGTTATGCTTTATGGTAGATTACACTTTATATTGGATTAAACTTTATGAGAATAATGAACTTTCATTGATATTGACTTCATTATGATGTCCTTGCACCTTGGTTGAGGGTGGTAATGTCCAACTTAGTTATTTGCGTTTAAAATGTTAATACCCATACATGTATCAATATAAATCCATCTCATGGTCTTTACTTTAGTTTTGGCTGAGCATTGATTATGTTTAGTTAGCATCTTTAGCTATGCTCAGAGTTATTAGCTAGATGTGTTAATAAGTTTATTGTTATTTTATTAGATTCGAGTAGTCATTTTGTTTATTATGCCTAAAGTGTTATCTTTTTATTAGACAAGTATATGACACAATGATATGAGTTTGGTGTTAGGGTCTTATGAAGGTTCTTGGAAACAAAGGGAAAACCTCATGTCCATCAACCATCCACAACTTGGAGGCCAAATAGCCTTGCATTCATTAAAAAGTTCCCACAAGTGGTCCTTATTGTCATCATAGATGCTCTCCATTAAATCCTAGAACTTACCTATCAGAAGTGCCAATGTGTGTCCAAGCCCTTATAAAAATAGACTTATAGAAGACATTTGACCCTTATAGCCTTTGAAAACCTGTGAAGCTTTCTAAAATGTCTATTTTATTAGCAGCTATGTTTAGGCATGTTCATCATGGGAAATTCTCTCACTATCTGCAATCGTTTTGCTCATTTGCTCTTGTCCATTTCTAAAGGACTCTTGCCTTCTCATTTCTTATCTACTGCTATTTCAAGAGTCCTTAGAAGTGGTATTGGAGCCTTCTATTAGAAGGGGGGGATAGAGACAGTGAACTCACTTGGGGAGTGGGGATGGGTTGCAAGTGCAAAGAAACAAAGGGAAACAGAGGGATATATGGTTGAATTTAATTTTAGGTCCGTTAGTACTAAGTTGGGTAAACTCATGAGAAATTTAAATTCAAAAGCTTACATTTGGCATAAAAAAAGTCTCAGATCCAACTTTTTTTGTTGGTTAGAGGAATTACACCACATGTTGAGATTAATATTAACAAATTTAATTTGTCTCCATCTAAGTTTGACACAAGGGGGTGTCAAGTAGGGAGAGTTGTAACTCTCAACTTTTGTTCATGAGGGTATAAATTTATAGAGAAACGTGATGAATTGTAAATAACCAAAAGGAACAATTTAAAAAATGATTTATAGGGGTTAAATATAAAGGGACATGAATCATAAAGAAAAATGCACCCCCTTTTCCAATTGGTTACTTGGGATATTTAGGATTTAAGTAGTATTGGAATGAGTTATTAAAGGTATAATGTTTCATTAAAGGTTTGAACTCAATGAATTCAAAGAGGGTTTAAGGATAGAAGAATGGGTAATAAGGTCAAGAAACTTTGTTTGGACCATAAAGAAAAGGGTAATTATTTTTATTACTACAAAGTTAAACATTAATGCAAGGATTTTCTTTTTGTGAAGAGTTTAGAGAATGCTAAAATGAATATGGTGGAATCCATTGTATATAAGCATCCACATCATGTGGTAAAAATTCAAAAACCAAAGTCTCAAGTTCATAGCAACTCTATAGAACTTAATGATTCTATGTGCAATCAACTTGTGAAGGCCAAGGAGAACATTCAAGGTAGTGATGTTAGGATCATTTTTAATCCAGATATTACATACAACTTTTGAGTTTTAATGTGGTAAAAAAAACTTGGTTTATCTATGAAAAAGAGCTTGGTAATCTATAAGGTGATTATAGTTGATAGATATAACACTTATATTTATAGTGAATTAGCTTTGAGTGTTCTTTGACATTTAAAGGATCTTAACCATCTACATAACCAACCACTTAAGATATTAAGTTAACTCTTATTAGGATGTATTGCTCTTTGTTTAGTGTCAAGTTTGGGTTTAAGCCCAAGCTCCTAAATGTATTGTAGAGATAGTGGTTGGAAGTATAGCCAACCACTTAAGATATTAAGTTAACTCCTATTAAGATGTATTGCTCTTTGTTTAGTGTCAAGTTTGGGTTTAAGCCCAAGTTCCTAAATGTATTGTAGAGATAGTGGTTGGAAGTATAGCCAACCACTTAAGATATTAAGTTAACTCCTATTAAGCTATATAGCTCTTTGTTTAGTGTCAAGTTTGGGTTTAAGCCTAAGCTCTATATTATTCTAAGGTATTGGTATGCTGAATTTTGCTAAACTCCATGTAATATTGTTTTACATATAAATTGTATATAGGATTTTAAGTATATACTAAACCTTTATTTTATAGTGCAACAGACTCAAAGTTATAAGCAGGTCATTACTTTTGTTTTTTGAAAAACTTCTTGGCAGGCTAGGAGAAGGAGAACGCTCAAAAGGATGAGAGGTATTCATATGCAATATGTGGTGGTAGTCACCTTGCTCTCGCCACACTACGCTTGGTCACCAACAGTTTTCCATAGCCAGCTATGGAAGGCCAAGAACAAGCTCTGGCTACCGAATTCTGGATGCTCCAAATGGCTATCAGCTCAATGTGCTACTTGGGCTGCCTCGCCTCCACCGGGTCCTTCAAACGACGACGAAGATACTATTGCTCGACACGTGGAGATGTTAGCTTTACTGGGTGGAGAGGTGGAAAAATCAGTGACAGAATCTCAAGCTCAGGAGCTTCTGTCGTCCATTCGCCTTCTAGTTCCACCAACGCTGAGAAGCTCGTCATACCGGTCCAGGGGAGTTTCTCGAGTAGAAAAGCCAGAGCGAATGTGGAGGTTGATAAGGGAACCTCCGGCTTCTGTTGCGAACTTAAGCCAGGAAATCCGTGGAATGGGCTGGGGAGCCTGACGCTATACTAGCGGAGCTGGATTCGGCACTTCACAAGGTAGAAGTTGGTATTTTCCCTTCGAAACTTCAGCTGAAATTTTCGCCAGGTCCCCGATGTTGAGAATTCGAACGCTAGCAAGTGCGTGCTTACCAAGCACGATTGTGCCAAGCGTTTTGTTGATCAGGTTCGTTGAAGATACAGCGCGCTCTTAACTATGTGTTGCTTGCAGGAAATCAACTCGTACATGGCATTCTTATTTGAAGCAATTGTGGCTCTAGCTCCCTTGGCAGGTTTTAACGTTTCTGTAAACTGCTACGATCTTTTCCACGGCCACATGTTTACTGCTTACGGCACTGGAAGGCTCGGTATTCTGTAAGCTTGCCTGCTCAAACGCTAGTCACCATGACTGAATGTTTGTAACTTTGCAGGTTTCATTGTCAAGAGTACCCCGAGCATGACAAGAACAACTTTGCCCTGAACCTCGGCTATTGCCAAACGGGTAAGCGAATGCCTCAATGCAGCGCCTTAGAGCATTTGACAGGATCATTCGTTCCTTACGACAGCAGCATGAACTTAAGAAACATTATCTGGCTCGCACCAATGCCGTCGTGTACCAGCCACAAATGCTCGGCTAAATGGCTCGCACCAGGTAACTCTTGGACTGCAAATATACTAACATCGATCAAAATTTGCTTGAACTCGTTGCAGGTGCGCTCTTCATCTTGGATGCCAAGCCTGGTGGCGTTGTGTTTAAGGAGCTCGTTTCGGAATGGGTTGATGTGAACTGTGATTGATGTTAATTATTTCAACGTGGATGGTTGTCAAATCTTCCTCACATAGTTGTATTGCCATGAGCATTGATGCAGATTTGGAAGAGTATTTGTTTGCTTTCATGTTGATGATGCAGCATTGTGAAGGTACCATGAGTGAAAAACCACGGCAAAAGAAGATTTTTCCCATGAAGTTAGTGGGTATTTGGTCTAGTGCAAGACCGGTCTGCTAAAACAGGAGCTTTTTGCGGTTCCAAGCGTCTTGTTGTTGGCTGTGACCCTCCATACCAGGCAAACACCGAGTTCTAAGCAGGAATCTCTCTGCGTCTTCCAGCTCTCGCTATATATTAGTAGCGCATTTCTCACGGTGGAGCGCGAGTCAGCTCCCACCTCAAATGTACAACCACACTCGAACAAGCTGCTTACGGGCAGAGCCCTCGACCGTTGGACACGCACCCCGATCAACCTGGCCGCAGTGCCTTACGACTGCCGCCCACACCAAATGAATGCTAACGCGAGAAAGCGAAAAATTATTGCTCCGTTCTTTACGCAAGGGTTCAATCTTTCTCCAGTGTCGACTCCTTTAGGCCCTCTTTTGACAATGCAGGCAGGTCTTGGTGATGAAGATGACATTCTGGAGACAGTTCTCAGTTTTGTGGACTTGGCCACACTTTGTGGGTGCTCTGTTGTTCAGAAGTCATGGAAGTCCATCATCAGCAATCCAACATTTCGCCTCCGCTGGTGTCAAAACAGTGGTGAGAAGGAAACCTTGTGGGTTTTGACTAGCTCTGTCTGCGAAACCCACCACTTTTTCGCCTTGAGTCCATCACCATTACCTGCAGATGCAACAACTTCAATAACCGATGGAGGCAATGAAAACTCGGGGCTTGGTATGCAGCCTACCCCCAGCGGAAACACATCCTCAGAGCGATCCAAGCCTTGCATGGGCTCCATTGGTGAAATCCAGTGACCTCAGAGTGGAGCCAACTACTACCTTTCCATTGGGGAGACATGCAAGCAAGTAGGAGTTTGTCCCTGTGCTCCCAAATACTTGATACAGGGAGGTTGAAACTTCACTCTATGGTGCTAAGCATTAAGGTGCCAAACAATATCACATGGGAGGAAGTTTTCACCTCATTGCTTCGCATGCATCAAAGCAATGTGACATTAATGAATCTGAATACTAACAGCTGCAATATGTAAATCCTCATCCAGCTGATCTGTGCAATTGGTGTGAAGATCCTATGGTGTCCCAACAATTGTAGTGGGATCCACTTCCTAAAAGGAGACATGGTAGGAAGGTAAACAAAGTTGCATGGGGAGAATTGCTTTTAAACTATACACCAATTGGAATGGAGGGAGCTTTTTTGTTGTCCGGGTTCTTGAAGGTGATCTATTATGTTAAATTAGTGATGGTACCTTAGTTCTTTGAAAGTTTGCTCATTGAAGTTTTGAAAAAGTTGTAACATTCATTCAATATAACTTTTTAGTGCATCCATTAGCACTTAGAATAAATTGTTAGATAAATAAGAATCAATCTTTACTACAGTCCAGCAAGCAGCAAGAATTTAAATATGACTTCTATGCTACTAGTATTGAAAGTTTTTCTTTGCTAATCCTCACAATGCTTGTCCTATTACAAGAAGAACAACAAACTAATAGGGGAAAAAATCCAAGGATGAAGAAATGTCATGCAGAATCAGAAAACATTCTTCTGCCATTGCCACATGTTGACCTGATGTTTTTGTTATTGTACATACTTGCTACATTAGAAGCTTCAGAATCCTTAAATGGCGCTTGCAGTGATTCCCATTACTTGAGATCCAGATGCCAAGCAAAACACAAGAAGAAAATAATTTCCAGCCACTTAGAAGTATATACTTCACTGCTTTGGCAATTGCAGAAGTAGTACAATTCACAACTTATGCCAGTGCCGGAGGCTGCGAGCAATGCAAAATGCTGAAACAGCACAGCAACAATAGTCTACTTCGAGCAGTACAGAGTCAAAAGATTTATTGTGACCTTTTACCAAAATGTAACTCCTCTTTTTTTCTTCTTACTCTTTTGGTTGGGCTTAAACTTTACATGGCTTTTCATGTTTCATGTGGACTCAGAGGAAAGCTGATACTAGATGGGACGAAAATTTTAATGATGAAACGAGTAAATTGAAATTACTATATTTTGACAGACCCCATAAGATTGGGTGGTGGGAAAAAGGTGTGTGAGGGTAAGTTCTAGGGTTTAATGGAGAGCGTCTGCGATGACGGCGAGGAGCGCTTGCGGGATCTTTGCGGACCTGACTATGAGCGCCTTCAGCGGCAAGGCTATTCGGCCTCCAGGTTGTGGACGGCCGATTTTCGTGAGATTTTGCCCTTGTTTCCAGGAAATCTTGATCTCGCATGCCAAATATATGTGCAGTTCAACTGTAAGTTCTTTCGCTGTTTCTTTAGGCTACTGTTCTTTTTGCATTTACTGTGCAGTAGAGGCTCGCGGCACCAAGATCATGGACCTAGTGGCAAACAAAGAAACACGAGACCCCAAGCTGCTACAGTGGATAAAGGAGAGGTTGGAGTATGTTTCGTGCAGGTGGCTGCGTCACTGTGAAAACCTCCTCATGCAGAAGCCGATAGGTGAAAGTTCTGTGTTTTTGTCTGGTGCTCGAGTATTCTTTTGCTTGTGCCTGTGCAGAGAACACTAGGCCTGATCGTGATCGTTTGTGGCACGAGATTAATACGAAAGTGGCGATGAAATCGTTACCGAGGGAGTACGTTGGGGAGGCCCATAAGATATTGTACAAGGAGCTGTGTAAGTTGAGGAACGAATGCTCAAAGAGTAAGTCTTGAATTCTTCTGTTATTGTGGCTTATAGCACTGGCTATTGTGTAGACCAGCACTACAGCTGCTATACCTCCATAGTACAGGGTTCTGGCACGGGGAAAACACGCGGAGTGATGCAGATGTCGCGCCTAGGAGTGTATATTTGCTATTGCAGCACGGCAGCAGCAAACAGTACCGCCTGTCCTCCTCGAACGGGGGAGCTTGCCAACCAGCTCAGCCGAACGAACAGTGAGTTGGAGATGGCGCTATACTTCAAAGCATGGCTTTTTGTCCTCCATGAGACGGTGAAGGGTGAGAAGATGAGCTCAGTGCAGTGGATGGATTCACAGATGGATTCGTCCAGTATTGCGGAGGCCGTGCACAAGAAATGGCTTGAATTGATCAACAGCAGAGCTGTAGAGGAAATTAGTGAGTCACCGGATGACAGGAACGAGAATCTACTCCAACGAGAGTTTGAAAACTTGAAGGATGTACTGCCGGAAGAGGGGGAGGTGCAGGTGCTTTTTGTTTTTGATGAAGGTCGTGGTCTCTTACCGAATGGGGAAAGCACCTTCGGTATGGCACAATCGCCGTTTTACCAGATGAGGCGAGTGGCGAGAGCTTTCTTCACACACAAGAAATACTTTGCAGTTGTCATTGATACGATGGGGAGTATCAGTAATCTGCAGCACGAGGACCAGTCGAGGAAAGCTAATATCCTGGGACGGCACGAGGACCAGTCGAGGAAAGCTAATATCCTGGGTTTGCGGCTTTTAAGGCCTATTCATCAGGTGGTGAATATGGACCTTGTTCCTCGGACTACGGATTTGTCTCCAGCTCAGTTGTTCAGGTATGGAAGGCCCCTATGGAGTAGCCGCCTTGACAGCAATCCAAATGTGTGGAGCCTCCTCGATCTTGCGGAAGCCAAGCTGGTTGGGGTGCTGCACGGGGACTTTCAGGGGCAAGCTGTGGACGTTTGTGGTTCTACCGGAAGGGTACAGATGGCTGAGAGCCAGGCGTTGGCCTTGCTTTCAGCATCAGCGGGCCTGGAGATATGCCCGCGGAGTGCGCAAAGCCAGCTTCTTGTCGCTTCTCACATGAGTATCCTTACGTTCATCTCCCTCGATCGTACGAGAGTGCATATCAGTCAGCCCGTGGAGCCCGTTGTGAGTGAAGCGGCCGCTAGGATTCTCAACCGCAAGAGTGGCGAGCCTCTAGAAGTTGCTCTAGGGCTGTTCCTGAACGGCTGCTACAATGGCTATGTGGATGCTGGACATCGGGGGGAATTCATAGTGAAGCTCATCTTGCTGCAAGCTTGTTGGAGCTTGTACAAGGGTGACTACTACCTACGCCGCATTCCTCTCCGGGATTATATCGGACGATTGCTGGGCTGGGGGGAGGCACAGGTTGACGAGGCATGCAGCGGCCTGGATGAATCCGCTGCCGTCTTTTTTAACAGTTTTATGCTGGTTAAGCAGGGGCAGTTGACACCCGAGATATTGGCAGCTGCGTTCATGAGAGGCTGTGCAATCATGTACAAAGCCAACAATAACGTCCGAGGTTATGACATTGTTATTCCGGTCTGGACTTCCTTGGGGATGACTGCGCTGCTCGTTTCGGTTGAGAACAGTAAAAAGTGTGGGTGGCTCAACAAAGCTTCTACGA